GAGAGGGAGAGGGAGAGGGAGAGGGAGAGGGAGAGGGAGAGGGAGAGAGAGAGAGAGAGAGAGAGAGAGAGAGAGAGAGAGAACAAGGGAAAGAAGTTGAGCTCCTGATGGGCAGTGGGATCTTTTTATAGTGAAGATAAATTGAATTTTTTATTTCAAGACAATGTCTCACTATATAGTCCTGGCTAGCCAGAAACTCCCTATGTAGACTGAATTCCTAGGTAATTTGGAGTTGTTTTGAAGACCCCCACTCCAGGGAGACCCTCACTCAAGACCCTCACTCAAGAATGATGCGACTACCTAGTAATTCTCACAAGACACCGAAACTGGATGCAACAGCAGAGGTTTATTCGGGAGGAACAGTCGGCTGTTGGTCAATTCGTTTGCTCACGCAGGAGCTGAATTGACAAGGACAGACAGTCTGAGGAGGGTTTTTAAAGGGGAAAAAATCACAAACCAGGGGATGAGGAGGGGGCGAGGGGGTTGCCAAGGAGACATAACATAAAAATAGCGGAACATTCCAAAGGAACGCAACCTATGTGAGTCAAGGTCACGTGAAAACATTCTGTACACTTATTTTTTTCAGGAATGCGGTCCTTCCCTGTCATTGTGGTCCTGCCCAGTCACTGTGGTCACCAGTTCCTTGGTTCCACCTAGCTGAATTGCATTCTTCTCTTTTTGTGGTTAGCCAGTTCCCGTAACTGGCCGGTCCACATTCTTAGCCTGTTTCAGAGAAAATTTTCCATGCCTTTTAAAGAAAAACTTAAAGAAGAACCTATGTATATTTTATAAAATGATCTTTATAATTTTTCATTCTACAGTTTGAATAGAAAATAGGTGAGAAGCTCCCTACTTCATTATGTAGTAAATTTTATAATCCCGTTTGTCCTCCTCAGACTTGGAAATGAGGTGGGGAGTTAGCAGTCATCAGAGGGTTGGCTGTATTTTAACATAAGTCACTGGGTCAGGCTCCAAAACGTTAGGAGTGTGATTGTTAAAAGATTAGGGGATTTGCTCTTATGTTTACGACATTTGCTTTGGGCCTTCATCTCTCTAAATGATGTTTAAAATGTGTATCCACCATTGGGAGGTGGTACAACTGTAAAAGGTGGCAGCTTGTCAGATGAAGTGACTTATGGGGTGGGGACAGCATTCCTTTGAAGGGCATACCTTGTTCCTGGCCGCTTCCTGTTACCTTTTATCTGTCTTGAAGTGGGAAGCTTCCATTCACATGACTGCCTTGTCATAGACACAGAGCTGGGGGCAGTACAACAGAAACCTTAAAGAATCAAATTGTTATCTGGCCTGGTGGCCAGGCCTATAATCTTGTCTATTCTGGAAACTGAGGCAAGATCACATGTTCATGACCAGCCTGAATAACCTAGATGACGCCTCAATATTTATTTATTTATTTATTTATTTATTTATTTAATTTATTAAGTTAAAAGAGGGTTGGGGATCTGGCCACATGATAGAGCCTTTTCCCAGTATTTTAAAGGTTTTTGGGGTCAAACAACAAGAGATAAAAAATTCCGAGGAGATTTCATGCTGCGGGTAGGAGTAGCCCTGAAGCAGAACTGTCAGAGAAGGCCTGAAAAAAGATTCTGACAACTTATTTCAAAGCTAAGGCTACACACCTGTATGTGCTGTCTGCTTCGTCTTGTCACTCTACTGTAATACTGACATAGGAGAATGAAAGATCTCAGGTGTGGGTTTCAAGAGGGACACTGAGATGGACTGTTCACCATAAGATCATTAGAAAAGTTATTAATTCTATGGACAAATAGATAACAGCATGTGGGGGTTCTAAAGAGAGGACTCTGGCACGTATGGTAGACAAGGTTTTGATTTCTAAATACGCAGGTGGTCTTAGCACAAGCTGGTCACCAGGCTCTCGAAGTCTCAGGTAGGAGACAGGGAAGAATTGGGGTGCAGAACTGTGATACACACCCACCCAATGTTTCCTTTACTTTAAACTCACTTTCCCAGTAAGGAAATTTGGGCACCTGGTAGTCTGTTAGCTGAAGAGTCACAGACACCTGTCAGTGTCTGAGAGGAGAAGAGCTACTACAGGGGCTGTGGCCTCAGTAGAAGTCTGGTCTGGATTCTAGCCTTTCCTTCCTAAAGAGAGAAACTGACAAAACAACAATAACAACAACATCCGACTCTGGTCTGTCCTGGTTGGCTTTGTTACCTTGACACAGTGTAGAGAGAAGACACCTCCACCCAGAAATTGCCTAGATCGGATTGGCCTGTGGCCACGCCTGTGGGGATTGTCTTGATAATTAGTTGATGCGTGAGGGCCCAGCCCACTATGGGCAGCACTTTCCTAGGCTGTCTAAGAAGCTAAGGCTAATCATAAGCTTGTGATTGAGCCAGAAAGTGCTCCAGCAAATTTTTCCTCAAAGGTTTCTTCTTAGAGTTCCTGCCTGTGATTTCTCACAGTGATGGATTTGGTTTGGAAGTGTAAGACAAACACATTCTTCCCCAGGTTACTTTTGGTCAGTGGTTTATCACAGCCCAGGAGCCAGAACATAGCCCAAATTATAAACAAACCACTTTTCTTTACTAATTCCTGTCTCTAGGATTTTGGTAAAGTACCAACAACCATTTCACATCCTGTAAAACCACACAAATTACACAGCAACCCACTGTAACCAGAAGCTAAAACAAATCTTTATTCTTTTTAAGTTGGTAATGTTAGGTATTTTGCTATGGCAATATAGAATTAACTAGTATCCAAAGAACAAATTTATTTTGAAGAAAGAAAATTATGTCCAACAAAGTATACAAACTCAGAGAATAAGAGTTTATCCATTAGTTAAAAGGTGTAGTTAAAAATAGTGAGAGACCCAGAAAACATTCATTGATTTGTATAAAACTATAGAGAAGGCTTGTCAGGGTAACCCCTGCGCATGGGGTGAACGCTCTGGGATAGAATTTGATGCTCAGAGAGGATCCTCTGTATTTTTTCCAGGCCAGCTTTGTTTGCTGCCATTCCCGCTTCAAATTCCTGGCGTTCCTCTTCCTTTTCTGCTTCTCGAGCCTTCTGCTGGTGGGCAATTTGCATCTGAAGTTGATTCCTGTACTCCTCTGCCAAAGCACAGCGCCTAATGTTTTAAAGATAACAAAGTATAACATTAAAAGTTATCATTTGGATTTATTTATACCATTATCATGAAATATAATGTGTTTGCTTAATGTTTCCATTGATATGGTCACATAAATATCACTTTGAGACTGAGAACTGGAATTGTTAGGTCCTGTGACAGTTCTGATTTTTAATATTTTAAGAAACTCCAATGCTGGAGAGCTGGCTTAGAGGTTGAGAGCACTGACTGCTCTTTCAGAGGACCCAAGTTCAGCTCCCAGCACCCAAGCAATAGTTACAACCATCTGTAACTCCAGTTCCAAGGGTTCCAATATCTTCTTCTGGCTTGAGATCATCACGCACATGTGTGATACTGGCAAAACATGTATACATATATAATAAAGATACTTTTTTAATAAATGAAAAAAGGCAACTCCAGTTTGTTGTTTCATAATGATACTGATGGAATGACTGTGCTACTATCTTAAACCAAAACCCTGGTCTTAAGAATAAGCATAGACAGCTCTTTAAAACACCCTTAACAGTCTCATTTACAGCTCTGTAGCAGAACACCTGCTGTGGTCTCCCCTTGCTCTCTGACCCCCATCTCCATTGGATTGCGAAGACTTTCTCCTCTAGCTTCCTTTCCTCTCACTAATCCCATAATCCCAGCCTCATCCACAAGCAGCCATTCCCTGGGAAAATGCTGGCCACATCAGCCAGGGAAGCAGGTAGGCTAACTGCAGATCTTCACCACTCCTCTTCTCCTCCAAATCCAAGCCCCCAATCTCAACACCATCTCTGTAGCAGAACACCTGCTGCGTCCCCTACACCTCTGCCCCTGTCTCCATTGGACCAAACAGATATCAGCACCTCCAATTACAATCTTCCCAAACCCAGAAGCCGAGATGACAGCATAAACACACAAGAGCCAAGAAAATACGTCCCCTCTAGAACTCAAGAACTACTACAGGAGGCCTGGAGAAATGCAACATAGCTGAAACCTAAGACAAAGACCTTAACATTGCCTTTATGTATATGTTGGAGCCCTTACAGAGGAAATGAATAAATCCCTTAAAGAAATCCATGAAAACACAGACAAGCAGCAGAAGAAAATGAACAAAAACAGTTCAAGATCTCAATGTGGAAATAGAATTAATAAAGAAATCCAAACTGAAAGAAATCTGAAAATGAAAACTAAAGAACTGGAATAGGAACTGAAGAGTCAAGCCTTACAAACAGAATATAGGAGATAGAAGGAAAAATTCTCAGGTATTGAAGACATGGTAGGAGAAATGGATACCTCAGTCAAAAAAACTAAAAATCTCTCCTGGCACAAAACATCCAGAAAATCTGAGACACTATGAAAAGACCAAATGTAAGAATAATAGAAATAGAGGAAGGAGAAGAAACTCAGATCAAAGCATAGAAAATATTTTCAACAAAATCATAGAAGAAAAATTTCCTAACTTAAAGAAGGAGCTGTGTATCAAGGTAAAAGATGCATATAGAACACCAAATAGACTGGGCCAGAAAAGAAATTCCCGTGATGCATAATAAACAAAACCATAAACACAAAGAACACAGAAAGAACATCAAAAGCTGCAATAGAAAAAGACATAAAGGCAGACATATTAGAAAAATACTTGACTTCTGAATGGAGTCTCTAAAACCAGAAGGACCTGGAAAAATGTTCTACAGACTCTAAGAGACCACAGATGACAGCTTAGGTTACTATACCCAAAAAAATCAATCACAATAGATGGAAAAAAGACATTCCATGATAAAATTAAAGTTAAGCAATATATACCTACAAATCCAGCCCTACAGAAGGTGTTAAAAGGAAAACTCCAACTTAAGTGATTAATTATACCCAAGAAAACACAAGTAGTAAATAATCCCAGACCAGCAAATCAAAACAGTGGAAACACATACTTACATACCACCACCACCACCACCACCACCACCACCACCACCACCACTACCACCACTACCCCAACAAAATAATGGGAATCATGTTTGTTGATTGCTATCAATACCAGTGGTCTCAATTCCCTAATAAAAAGACACAGACTAACAGAATGGATGTGAAAACAGGTCCCATCCTTCTGCTGTATCCAAGAAGCACATTTTAACATCAGAGATATCACTTCAGGGTAAAAGGATGGGAAAAGATATTCCAAGCAAATGGACCTAAGAAACAAGTTGGTGTAGCCACTTTAATACCTGACAAAATACTCATTGAGTTAAAACTAATCATAAGAGATAGAGAAGGATACAACATTTTTTCTTTGGGGGCAAAGAAAAATTCCACCAAGAGGGCATTGCAGTTCTTAACAATATGCACCAAACACAAGGCCACCAACGTTCATAAAAGAAACACTACTACATCTTAACTCACATATTGATCCTCACCCATTGATAGTGGGAGACTTTCCTACCTGACTCTTGACGACAGACAGACCATCCAGACAAAAAAGGGGTAGAAATGCTGGAGCTAACTGATGTTATAAACCAAAGGGACCTAATAGATATTTACAGAACATTTCAACCAAACATAAAAGAATATACCTCCTACTCAGCCCTTTATGGAACTTTTTGCAAAACTGGCCACATATTCAGTTACAAAGCAAGTCTTAAAAACAAAAACAAACAAAACAAAAAAACAAAACCATTGAAATAATGTCCTGCATCCTGTCTGACCTCCATGGATTAAACAGATATGAACAACAACAGAAACACCAGAAAGCTTACAAACTCATGGAAACTGGACAGGTCTCTACTGAATGAAAAATGGATCAAGAAAAAAAAACATTAAAGACTTTCTAGAATTGAATGAAAGTAAATTCTCTACATGTACAAATGTATGGGACTCAAGGCAGTTCTAAAAAGAAAGTTAGTAACACTAAGGGCCTACATTTAAAACAAAAATGGAGAGATCACATACTAGTAACTTAACAGCACACCTGAGAATGCTAGAACAAAAAGAAAAAAAATCAAACCCAAAAGGAGTAGCAGGCAAGAAATAATCAAACTCAGGGCTGAAGTCAATAACCTAGAAATAAATAAACAATGAAAACTAAAGAACAACAACAACAATACAAAGAATCAAGGAAACAAAAAGTTGGTTCTTTGAGAAAAATCAATAAGACTAATAAAGAGTTATCCAAATTGACTAAAAGGCAGAGAAGGGGTATCCAAACTTATAAAATTAGAGCTAAAAGGGGGGTCATAAAAGACACCAAAGAAAGGCAGAGAATGAATAATGACATAAACACCTTTACTCAACCAAATTGGAAAAATCTAAAAGAAATGAATATTTTTTTGGTGAATACCACTTACCAAAGTTAAATCAAGATCAGATAATTTAGACAGACCTATAATCCCCAGTGAAATAGTGAAATAGAGGCAGTAACTAAAAGTCTACCCCCCCCAAAAAAAAAAATCCAGGGCCAAATGGTTTTAGCATAGAATTCTACCAGACTTTGAAAGAGTTGATACCAATACCCCTAAAATTATTCCACAAAATAGAAATTGAAGCAACATTGTTCAATTCATTTAATGAGGCATGGTAACCCTGATACTCAAATCACATAAGGACCCCATGAAGAAAGAGAATTACAGACACAGACCAATTTCCCTTATAAACATTAGATGCAAAAATTCTCAATAAAATACTTGCCAACAGAATCCAAGAACACATCCAAAAAAAATCAACCACCATGAACAAGTGAGCTTCATCCCAGAGATGCAGGGATGGTTAAATATACATAAATCAATAATTATAATCCACCTTATAATCAAACTAAGAGGCAAAAACTACATGATCATCTTCTTAGATGCAGAAAATGCCTTTGAGAAAATCCAACATCCCTTCATGATAAAAGTCCTGGAGAGATTAGGGAAATAAGGGAAATATCTCGGGATAATAAAGGCAGTTTATAGCAATCCCAAAGCAACAATTTAAATGGAAAATGGAAGCAATTCCATTAGTATCAAGAACAAGACAGGGTTATCTACTCACCTATACAATATAGTACTTGAAGTTTTAGCTACAGTAAAAAGACAACTAAAGGAAATTAGAGGGATACAAATTGCAAAGGAGAAAGTAAAATAATCCCAATTTGAAGAGAATATGATAGAATACAAAAGAAACTCCTGTGACTGATAAACCCTTTCAGCAAAATATCTTGATACACAATTAACTCACAAAATTCAGTACCCTTCCTATATACAAATGACAAATTGAGAGAGAAATCAGGGAAATACCACCCTTATCTTGTTGTAACTCTAACTAAGCAAGAAAAAGACTTGTATGATAAAACTTTAAGACATTAAAGAAAGAAATTGAAGATGATATCAGAAAATGAAAAAAAAATCTCCCATGTTCATGGGTCTGTAGGATTGATATAGTAAAAATGACCATGCTATCGAGAGCAATCTACAGATTCAATGCAATCCCCATCAAAATTCCACCACAACACTTCACAGATCCTGAAAGGACAATTTTACCTTCATCTGGAAACACAAAATCCCAGGAATGGTAAGACAATACTGTATAATAAGAAACTCCTAGAGGCATACTATCCCCAGCCTCAAATTGTACCACAGAGCTATAGTACTAAAACAAAAACAAATGTGGTATTTACATTGATTAATGGGATATACACAAGTCTACACAGCCTATGAACACTTGAGTTTTTTTAATATATATAAATGAGCCAGAAATACATATTGGAATAAATGCCAGTGTGAGTGTGTTGGAGGCCAGCTGTGGTTTCCCATCTTCTGGAACAGGTGAGGTTTGTAGGATCCTAGTCCTGCCAGAAGTAAGTGTGGATGGAGGGTTGAGTTGGCAGAGGCCTTCCATGAGGGTTTTAGTGTTCTAGCTCTTTTAGATAATAATGAAACAGCTCTCTTAGATGATTTTCAATGCAACAGCATGTGTGCATAAACTTCATTCATGGTGAACAAAGGCAATGTATGAACCTTGGAGAGCAGAAAGGGGTTCTTCTTAGG